GAGCGCCTCCTGCCTCAGGGGGCAGCTGATCTCCATGGAGAGGCACCTGTGACCAGTGCCTTGATCGCAGATTCCCTCTGCACCTTCCCTTCTCCAGCTTCGTGTAAAGCTCTGCAGAAACCTAACTGGGGGCCGGGGATTTAGCTCAGTGGTGCCCCTGCCTGTCTCGAAAGTGCAAGGTCCTGAGTTCGATCCCCGGTACCAAAAAAAAAGAAACCTAACTGGGCTGAGGTGAACTTTTTAGGTCTTGCAAAATCTTTTAGGTAGAATGTACTCTAGACATCCTTGCTGACTGAGGTCTTATCATAATTGAAAAATGCAAAGAAAAGTATGGTCTTCAATTTTAATTCCAGGACAGATCCCTGGGGAGGCAGGGAGCTGCACTTTTCATAGCGGGGAAGTGGGCAGGGATGTGCAGAGTGCTGATATTAAGCTTTGTGTTGGGTCACTTATGAGCATTCTGTCTTAAATCCTCTGAACCCTGTGAGAAAGGTGCCATCACTGTCTCTGTTACAGGGAAGAAAACTGAGGCACAGGACTCAGCTCACAAGAAGTAGAATCAGGGTCTATGTGGTTTTGGAGCCTGGTGTTGTATCCCTGGATGCACAAGACTCGGAACTCCAGGCCCCAGCCCAGCCCTCCTGCAGGGAAAACATGGATGCATCAAAAATATTTGCTGTATCCAAAAAAAGGAACAAAACTCAGTAAACCTTATTTTAACTATTTACTTATTCACTTATTTTTGTGGTGCTGGATCAGAACCCAGGGCTTTGTGCACACCAGGGAAGCACTGTACCGCTGAGCTACATCTGGAGCCCAGGAAACTGTAGTAGAATGACTAATGGCAGCTCCTCATCTTCTAAAACCCAGAGACCTCAGGAGGGCAAAGACTACACCCTAAGCCACTCTAGCCAACGCTGAGCTCTGGGGAGGAGCAGGGCTCAGTCAGGGCTGAGTGTGCATCCTGTGGTACCAAGGCAGAGCCTGGAATGAGGGAACTGGGGAGGGAGAAACCCAGCAGACCAGAGGATGAGGAACTGGGCTCCACTTCCTGTCCAGGGAGGAGCAGAGGGTGGGCCGACCCTCCATGCCCACTTCCCTCCTGCCCAGTGCTCAGGAGCACTGGCGCTTGACATCAATACAGTTTCTCAGGGATTTGAGGTGGGGTGGGTAGAAAGGAGAGGTTGTGGAGTCAGATTACTCATTCATTCATTCAAGGGATAGGGTCTTGCTAGGCTGCTCAGGTTGGCCTCAAACTTCTAGGCTCCAGCAATCCTGCCTCAGCCTCCCAAGTGCACCTGGCTGGGTCAGGTTGTTAATCTTTGGGTGTCACTCAAGGATATTTGTTGAGTAGTACCTAGCACCCTACAAAGGGAGACAGAGGCAAGAGAAGGGAGAGAAGAAAACACTGGTGAACGTGAAAGGCAGTGGCAGGTGGATCTGCGATCCTGTCAGTGCTGCCTGGGCCTGGGCCACCCATCTCAGAGCAGCTACTGTGCTCTCGCTGGGAGCTGGACACTGCCCACCAGGGTCCCAGTACTAGAGTAGGGACAGGGGCCCCGCTGTCCTTCCAGATGGCAGATGGTGGGAGGACAGGGTTCAGGGAGGAGGTGGATGCTGGCAGGGGCCACCTGGTGGTGGAGGGGGACAGTGACTGGCCAACTTCCAGTGCCTACTGGCCGGCAGTCAGCCCTGCATTCAGGTGAGCAGAGGGAGAGGGAGTCACTCCCAGGCCCTGGGGACCCAGCTCCTTCAGACCCCAAAGGAAACCAAACCTTGTGTTCCCACCCCCAACCCAGGCAGCTGGTGTTGCAGAGGTCGCAGTGCCCAGGAGGCCAGCTGGGGTTGTGATGACCGCCATCCTCTGTGGGCAGCCAGACAGGTCGCCTGACCCCAGGGCCTCTGCTGGGAACCGTGATGACAGCCCCTGGCTCACAGCTGCACGGGGTGCCCCCTGCAGGCCTGTTCCACCTCTGCCTGGAGCCCTAAGGTAGGGGTCCCCCCCAGCACCCTTTTCTCCACCTCTCTGAGCCTGTAAAGGGGACTGGGGCTCCCACCTCAGAATAAGGCCAAGTCCCTCCCACAGGAGTGTTCTCAGCTCTGGCTGCACATTGGGGTCACCTGGGGACCTTTTTTATTTGAGCTGCCGGGGCTCCAACCCAGGCCTGTGCGTGCTGAGTAAGCATGCAACCCATGCACCACACTCCCACCCATCAGGCCAAAAGGGAACTTGTTTAAAAAATGGGGCCGGGGATTTAGCTCAGTGGTT